GCCTTGGTGGAGGGCTCTCTCTAGTGTCAGCCAGCGGTAAAAACATGACCAGGTTTGAGCTCCTGGAACCAGGGACTCCTAGATTTCCAATAAATGCATTTACTTAATTTTAACTTCCCTTCCCAGATTCTCACCCCCACCCCCCATCCCATATTAAATTTCAGCCTGCGCCTCTACCCTTATTACACTGCGCGAAGGCGGTCAGGAAGCCTCAAAGTAGGATTTTAGGAAGCCCAAGAGGCCCAGTTTTAGCGAGCCGACCCCGACCCCGCCGCAAAAGGGATGCGGGGCGCAGTGTGACACCACCCACCAGTTTTAGGATCCGAATGCAGTCTTCTAGGTTGCGTCTTTCGGGGTTCCCCACCACGCGAGAGCACCTCCCGAAGCCCACTCCGGAGACTAATTTGGAGGGGGCCCCGAGTGGTCCTAACTCTGTGGAAGGCCATGGGGAGGCGGGGCAACAACCTGGGAGCGCGCCAGTGCGCGCGCTGTGGTGGGCGCGCCGGTTTCGGCCGCTTCCTAACCATGTCTGCACGGTTTCGGAGAAATCAGATTCGGAAATTCCAAAACCGGGCCAGGTTCGGCCTGGCAGCTCTTATTCTAAAGATCTTGGGCGGAAATCGAGCCAAGCTGGGTTCGCCTTCTTGCCAGCGTAGGCGGAAGGGGCTTTCGGTTTAGTTTCCCTCCAGGTCGGCTGGGAGGCGTAGGATGGAGACCATTGACCCTAGGGAGGTTCTTCATCTTATTGATTTTGACACCTCTCCTAACCATCCCCCTTACAGGGAAAAAAAAAAAAAAAGAAAAAGCAAGCAAAAAGAAAAATGACGCACCAGGCAAACAAACGTCGGAATTGGGCAATTTTAAGTCATGAAATGAGCTTCGGATTGCACCCGGACCCTTGGGTTCTAACCCCGGGTCTGCTACTAACTTGTCTGGCTTTCATGTTTACAAAACTGTGGTGCAGCAGGGTTGGGCTGGGCGAACTCTGAGAGGCCTGGAGCGGGCGCGGGCGAGGGATTTAGGGGAAAGGGTGCCGTATTCCCCGCGTGCCTCCCCCGTGCCCCCCTCCCCGGGTGAATCCCCAGCGGCCCGCGCCGCGCACGCAGCGATCCTGGCGGCCGTCGGGGGCCGGCAGCTTCCTGGAAAGTTACTTCTCGTTGGAGCGGGCAATAGGCAGAGAGTGTTCTGTGAAATCCGCTGAGCCGAGATCGACTACGTTCCGGGAATGAGAAGGCTGTTCCATTCCCCTCGCTGCCCCCTGCCTTGACGGCGTAAGAGGAAAAAGAAAAGGCACACGCACAATGTTAGCTACTGAGGTGCACGAAAAGTCTTTGAATCTAACCAAATTAAGGGCCTTTACCACGGTCGTTCCACCGGGTTTCCGCCGTGCTAGCGGGGGCTTGGAGGCGGATGGGCAGCGGTGCCCGCCGTACGTCCGGGTGTGGGCTGTCCCTGGCCGACAGGTATTGTGTCTGGGGGTGGGCGAATGTGCGCCGGGCTTGTCCCTGAGCGCAGGGCTCCTGTTTTGTGCTCTTGTGTGTAAGCTAGAGAACGGGGCTTCCTGTGCCAGCAGAGGAAGGAGGAAGAGGATGGGGTCTTTTCGTATTGGCTCGTTCTCTCTAACCTCGCCTCTCGCTGTCCTCTGCTGTCTTTCTCTCCTGCATCTCTCTTTCCCTCTCCCTTCTTCTGTCTTCTCGTCTCCTCTCTCTCTCTTTTGCTGTTGTTTTTGGGTCCCCTTTTTTTCTTTTCCAGTGGGAAGCCCCTCTAGAGGATCTGCCTTCTCCCCAAGGTGCTTACTTCCGAATACGCGGGGAAAGCGCCAAAGGAGAGGGAGGCTGTGGGGGTGGAGAAGATAACCTTTAACTCTTGCTTGGTAGTTACTGCGGCCGGTGGGGCGAGGGGGAAGGGGGAGGAAGGAAGGGGGGCGCCCAGGTCTGGGCTTGAGTTGTTAGTTTCTGGTTGATGGGCCTGCCCTCTTGCGGTGTTTTGTTTTGTGTGTGATGCGTCTTGCGGGTGGCATCTGTGGTATGGCCAGAGCTAAAAGACTGGTTTTGAGCAGGACTTTGCTAGGGATTAGCTTTGAAATGTTGGGCAAGGCTTATCTCCTGGAGCCTCAGTGTCCTCTCTGCTAAAGCAGTGGTTGTAAGGCTCAGATACGATAGTGGATGGGACAGGGCTGTGTGGTGTGGAGAACACAAAACAAAACACGTACTGGTGCTCCTTCCACACCTCCTGTATCTGGAGGGATGCCAAGGTTACTCTCAACCACTTTAACCCACCGCCTCACCACCTGTGGGGGCTGCTAAAACAGAGCTAGCTTCAAAAGGTGTGGACTGAATGAGGATGTGGGCATCGGTGTATGTGGGTTTGGTTTTGACCAGGCCAGGGAGAGGCTTAAGGTCAAAATTGCCCAGCCCAGGGCCTGGCCCACAGTAGACACAGGGGAATTGTTTTGTTTATTTATTTGTTTCAGTCTGCATTTGGAGTGAGTCACTGCCACTTGTCATGTGAAATGGTAAATCTGGGCTTCCTGTGGTTGGAAATCCACAAGGGAGCTGGTGGTTGGAGCTGATGAAAGGACAACCCAGGTATTCCAGAAGTGGGTGGGAATCCCTTTCATGATGGAGACAGTTGATATAAATCTCACACGGGTCTTCAGCATCCTTTTTCAAAGGAGACCTTTGTTAAATTTTGAGTAGGACTGTATATTATAGTGCGTCTTGCCTCTCTTTAGCCATCTTGAGTGAGGGCGGGAGAGGAGGAGATAGGTCCTTTCGCCTTTTTCTGTCCTCTCCCTTTCCCCGATGCCTTCGCCCTGGTCCCTGCTCACTCACATGCATACACTAACCTTGAAGCTGAGGAGACTGAGTGACTGGCCCTTGAGACCACAGAGAAATGTCAGAGTGTTTGGTTACAGACTCAAGGAAACCTCTCATTTTAGAGGGCTCGTTTGGTAAGACTCAGCAGTCTGGAATGGGGCAAAGTGTTTGTGTGGGGGAAGGAACTTAAAAATGAGATTCACTCATATCAGGGTGCTGTCCTTCGTGTTCTTCAGCACGTAGGCTAATTTGGAGATGGGGCAGGAATTTAAGCCAGAAGACTGGGGGCCGGACCACCAACCATCTACATGGTCCAACGTGACCTTGCTGGCCTCAGTCCCTTTACCGGAAAAGTAGCTCTAAAGGGCTATGCATTTAAAGAAGGGGAAGAAGGAGTTCAAATACTGTTTTGTTTTGCAGCCCACACACCATCATAAATGAGAGTCTTACACCTTTGCTTTCAATTATTTTGCTTTAGAGAGATCAATTCCAGTAGGGTACCTATTTCTTTAAATCTTTTTAAAGTTGAGCGCTGTCTGGGCAGTTCTCAGCTAAACCACACAGTTAAATCCTTCACCAGCAGGGGGAAGCACAAACTCGGAAATTGTAGATGCCTGGTCTTAAACCTGGAGCCCTGGTGGCGCACTGGTTAAGAGCTCAGCTGCTAACCAAAAGGTCGGGAGTTTGAATCCACCAGCTGCTCCTTGGAAACCCTATGGAGCAGTTCTACTCTGTCCTGTAGGGTCGCTATGAGTCAGAATTGACTTGATGGCAATAGGTTTGGTTTTTTGTTTTTTATTTTTTGTTCTTAAACTCAGGAGAGAAGGGAAGGGAACAGAGAAGGAACTTTGAAAAAAGGGCAAAATTCTCAAGGAAAGTGTATCCAGGTTGTATTCTGTGATTCCGTATTCAGTCTTCAGTATTTCACACGGTCGGGAAATACTGCCTGTTAGTTCTGAGCAAGCCACTGGCACTGCTGAGTCTCAGTTTTGTCACCCGTGAAACAGGCACAATATTGACCCTGTTGGCCTCGCGGAATCATTCTAAGGCTTGAAAGATAGTATTTTAGCAGGTTTTAAAAAGTGTCTGGTGTTTTTAGGTCCCCACAAGGTCATTATCATTAATATCGAAAGAACCACTTTTCCTATTTTTTTCTTTCCCATAAACTCAAGTGGCCTTTGGATTGTGTAAGATTTTTACTTGGAGAAAGAAAATACATGTGTTTATGTGTAGGAAATTAATGTATGCAATTGTATTCCCAGTACTCGGGGCGAAAACATTATTATCGCATGGCTTCTGGTGCCTCTTGTTTCCGTAAGAGCAGAGCTGAAAAAGGTTTGCTAGCGTGTGGTAAAACCGCACCAGCTGGCAGGCTGCAGCTATCAAAGCAAAACTAAATATGTGTGTCCTAAAAATAAGACCATAGTGGACAATCTTACATTCATTGAATCAATTTCTGTTTGCTCTCCTCTCTTCCCTGCAGGTTTTAAGCAAAATTTTGGACCGTGAATCAAGGCACTGGGTAAGTTAATTGAATTATACGCTTTAAAATTTTTGTGGACACACCGTTGCCTTTGAATTTACCAATGCGTGTATTTATCTGCTCTCGATCACTTTTCATTAGGTGAGACAAAGGATAACCCCATCCTGTATGCCTCCACCAGACTGTCTTAACACTGTTGTATAGTCCTTCATGCTCTTACTCATTTATTAGTTCAAAACTAATTTAGTCACCTACTAAGCACCAGTAATGTGCTTGAAGGTGCTTGGAGTACAAAGGGAAACAACTGTGAGGCCCAATAGAGAAGAGAAGCAATGTTTTGGCTGTGGTAATGACATGAGACGCGATGACAATAGCTGCTGTTTTTGAGAACCTAGTATGGGTCAGGCACTGGCTTAGGTTGGGTTCTCTAGAGAAGCAAAACTAATGAGATAGATTTATCTCAAGGAAATGGCTCATGTGGTTGTGGAGGCTGGCAAGTCCCAAAGTCCATGGGTTGGGTGTTTGCTGGAGGCTACTTCTGACTCACATGGCTACAGGGGCTGATGAACCCAAAATCGGCAGGTCAGATGGCAGGCCGCTGGCCCACAGAGCTGCGGAAGCTGGCAAATCCCCAAGTTGGCAGGTCAGATGATTAGCTGCTGGCTCAAGTCCCGAGAACCAGAGGTCAGATGATGACGAGCTGGAAACAAGATCCAGAATAAGCAAGCAAGCTTTGCCAGAAAGTCCATATGTGTGTGTGTGTGTGTATATGTATATATATATATATATATAATATATGGTGCAGGCCACACCCCAAGGCAACTCCCCTTACAACTGATTGGGTGATCACATCAGATCACATCATGGAGGTGATTACATTATATTACTTATGGAGATTACAAAATGGAGGATAATTACATCAGATCACAAAATGGAAAATAATTACATAATACTGAGAATCATGGCTTAGCCAAGTTGACACATAACATTAATCATCACAGGCACATATCTCTAATTTTTGCAGCCACATAGGTGGTATTACTCCCATTTTACAGATGGGGAAACCAAGGCCCAGAAACAGGAAACAACCTGCTCCAGGTCACACAATTGGCAGATGGCAAAGCTAGCATGTTAACCTTCAAAGCATGGTTTCTCTCCATCACAACACACTGCCTCTTCGAGCTTGACACAGTATTTGGTGTTTGGTAAAAATACTTAACAAACATTTATCCTCTTTCTTTTCCCCCTAAAGGGCTTTCTATCCCAACTTGTTGGGTAGAGATTATTCTCCCTATTTGACAGATGTGAAGAGTAAGCCCCAGAGATGGGCCATGAATTGTTCAGAAACCAGACATAGAGACCTGAGTTTGCATCCCATGCCTCAGCAGGCTGAGCTACCTGTCTAGCATAGCTGGCAAGTAGGAAGCAGATTCTCAAGAACTAAAGGGATTTTGACCCCCCCCCCCCGCTTTTTTTCAGGTGAAGACAAAATGGCCTCACCGGCGGACAGCTGTATCCAGTTCACCCGCCATGCCAGTGACGTTCTTCTCAACCTTAACCGCCTCCGGAGCCGTGACATCTTGACTGATGTTGTCATTGTGGTGAGCCGTGAGCAGTTTAGAGCCCATAAGACAGTCCTCATGGCCTGCAGGTGAGGGGTCTGGAAGGGAAGGGTGGGTTAATAAAAGGAGGTTGGTGCAACCAGCAAGGTTGAACATGAGGCTCTCTTGCTGCGTTTGGGATCATGTCTTGTTTGTCTCTGGATCTCCAGCACATGGACTGGTGGTGTAAGCTTCCAGGAAGTGAATAAATAAACGTACTTTTAGAAAAGAAAGAGTTTCTGTTCTGTGGGCATGATGGGGGAAGAAATCATTTACTGCTCCGGGAAAGGATGTGTTTGGGGCAAACGTGGAAAATCACCTCAGTTAACCAGTGAAACGAGGATAAGTGAAAGAGTCTTTAAATATTTTAAGCAAGTTAGTTTGAAATCGTTGGGCTTTATTATACTGTAACTATTTATTGTATACATGTAACTATATTTCCATGGGTGTTTCAGGGTATATGTAAGTGTTCATGAGAGTAACCCAGCTACTTCTTCATATTAAGTTGTGTCTAGGTTTCACAACAATTTTAGATTATATCATCTCCTGTACTTGTCGTGATAGCATTCTGTGTTACATGAATGACACTGTTGTCTTCATTTTATAGATGGAAAAGGAAGGCACAGATAGGTGGGATGATATAGAATCAGGGATCTCTACTGCTAGTAGAAGCCTTTTTCAACGTCTCCTACAAGGGTCTTTCTTTTTAGTGGTGAGAACAGAGATTTCTATAGATATAAAAATAATAGATAATGCTTATTGAGTGCTTACTGTGTGCCAAGCATCATTCTATACCCTTTACGTTTCTATTCTTACACCCACTCTGTGAGGTAGGTACTTTTATCCTCTCCCCCCTACTTTATAAATGAGGAAACCAAGACACAGAGAAGATAAGTATCTTACCCAAGTTTATACAGCTCGTGAGTGGTGAAGCTAGGATTCAAACCCAAGAATTCTGGCTCACTTCTGGCAACCCACTCAGAGTAGAGTCAAGACAACAGCCCAGAATCTGGCCTCCAGTTGAGTGCTCTTTGCACCACCAGACGAGATGGTACCTGGAGGCATAGCTTGAGGTTTGACTTGGATCTTCTGGGAGTAATTGACCTTATAATAGTCTGCAGACTTTGAGAGAAACAGTAGATTATGGATGTAGGCATATTATTATTTACTGATCACCCATACCCAGCCTGCCTCTTAAAAAAAAAGGATTTTTTTTTTTTTTAAAGATAATGTGATGGAACAAGAGGGGAAATGCTTATCCTAAAGATATAGACTAAGAATAGTTATGCAAATGAGTGCTAAACGTAACTCTGGTCATGCATGGCAGGTGGAGCCCTGGTGGTGCAACTGTTAAGTGCTCAGCTGCTAACCAAAAGGCTGACGGTTCAAACTCATCCAGTGGCTCTGCAGGAGAAAGACCTGGCAATCTGCTCCCATAAAGATGACTGCCAAGAGAACCCTATGGAGCAGTTCTACTCCATCACGTGGGGTCCCTATGAGTTGAAATCCACTCCATGGCACCCAACAACAACAATCTATGCAGTTAAGAGTAACAAGAAAACAGTGATTTTGAGAAAAATCACTTAACCTCTCTGATCTTAGTTACCCCACTTGTAAAAGGGGGAGAATGGTAGTACTACCTTGCAAGGTTATGAAGAGCACATGGTAATATACGTAACGTGCTTAACGACTCTCTGGCATTTTGTAAGCTCTTCATGAGTGGTGGCTATTGTTAATTGCCGTGGAAATTCTGGAGCTAGGTCTAGGGGAGAGGGGCTGGGCATTGATGTTGAATGTAACCGTCCACAAGTTCTCTATGTCTGCTCACATGAGGCATTTGTTTGTTTTACAGTGGCCTGTTCTACAGCATCTTCACAGACCAGTTGAAATGCAACCTTAGTGTGATCAATCTGGATCCTGAGATCAACCCTGAGGGGTTCTGCATCCTCTTGGACTTCATGTACACGTCTCGGCTCAATCTGCGGGAGGGCAACATCATGGCTGTGATGGCCACGGCTATGTACCTGCAGATGGAGCATGTGGTTGACACTTGCCGAAAGTTTATCAAGGCCAGGTGAGCTGGCATCTGGGTGGAAGCCTTGGAGCCTGAGGGGTGGTCTGTGATCAGAAACCTTGATATCTGCCATGGGTACAGAAAAAATAGCCCTCTGTGATCTGCGGCAACCTGCTTCTCCACCATCGTTGCTCACTCCTCCTCTTCTTGCTGATTTCACTGCAGCCAGACTTGACTCCTCGCTGCAGACTCCTCCAGATGCGTCTCCTCCTCTCTCCCACTCCCTTGATAGGCCCTTTTCTCTCACCCCTCCTGCAGGGCCTAGCTCTTCACTGAGGTGTTTCTGATTACACTCTTCTTCCCTCAGCTTTCTTCTGTGTCCCAAAGCATTTTGCCTCTTTTTTTAGGTCTTTCTTCTGTTTTAACTATTTGCATAGATGCTTTGGTTCTCCTTTAGACTTCTGTTATAACCATTGACATATGTGCTTTAGTTCCCTTACCAGACTGTGGACTGCTCAGGGTTATCGGGGCTACCTTCCTCATCATTTACATCATACTGCTCCTGCTGGGAGGACATGTGTTGAACTGAATTATGTTCATTGGTTCTAACCCCCTACCTGAGGGCTGTAAGACATGACTGTCCCTTAGAAGTGAGGAACGTGAGACCCACAGAAGAAGAATTTTGCCTGAGTGGGAGAAGAAGGGCTTCACCTCTCTAGGACCATTTAATTCAACTGCTCCAAGGGGCCTGACTCCCTTCTCGAACAGAAGGGGTTTCCAGCATCTGTTTTAACACCTCCAGGGGCTGAGAACTCCCTGTTCCCAGAGTCACCCCGTCTACCCTGTACAGTCAGAAAGCTCTCCTTCGTGGCCAGTTGAAATCTGTTTCCTCATTGAATCTGGCTTGGTTAACTGTGATCATGGGGAGCTGGTCTCTGTTTTGCCCAGTAATGCTCCTTCAGGAGTATGCAACCAGAGCTCTTCGTCTTCTGCGGGTGATAACGGTGGCAAGATCATCACTGCTTTCATTTACGAGTGCTTTCTGTGGGTCAGGCCTGTGCTTGGAGCAGCTGAATAACTTGCTCCGGGTCACAGCTGGTAAGTGGCACAGCTGGGATTGGCAAGCACGTCTGGCTGCCCCGGGGCCCAGCTTCTCACACTGCCATGTTCTGCCTGTTCTCCGTGGTGAGCTTCCTAGCAACTCCAGTCAGCATACGGAGCACGTCCTCTCACCATCCTCCTTGCTCTTTGATAGGGCGCTATGACCATCTGAAAGTGTGGTACCAGCACTGTATACCTTCTTATCTTCCAGAGCCTCAGTTTCCACTTCGGTAAAATGGAGACATAATGCCTGCCTTTCCCTTCCTTGCAGGATTATGCATGAGCAAAAGGAGATAAGGGCTCTGAAAGCTTTATGTGAATTATAACATCATAAGAATATATATTGTTGTTGGGAGCTGCCAAGTTGATTCTGACTCATAGAGATCCTGTGTACAACAGAACGAAACACTGTTGGGTCCTGCGCCATCCTCACAGTCGTTGCTGTGTTTGAGCCCATTGTTGCAGCCACTGTGTCAATCTATCTGGTTGAGGGTCTTCCTTTTTTTTGCTGACCCTCTACTTCACCAAGCATGATGTCTTTCTCCAGGAACTGGTCCCTCTTGATAACATATACAAAGCACGTGAGACAAAGTCTCACTATGCTTGCTTCTAATGAGCATTCTGGCTGTACAAGACAGATTTGTGTGTTCTTCTGGCAGTCCATAGTGTATTCAATATTCTTCGCCAACACCATAATTCAAAGGCATCAATTCTTCTTCGGTCTTCCTTATTCATTGTCCAGCTTTCACATGCATATGAGGCGATTGAAAACACCATGACTTGGGTCAGGCATAAGAATATGTATGTAACTTAAAAAGGCAAGATCGTGTCTAACCAGGCACAGATTGTGTGGATGACTCGCTTTGCTTCTCTGGGCCTCCGTTTCCCCGTCTGTGAGTTAGATTGCTAGACTTTCATGAATGCTTGTAACGGTAAGCATTTCCCCACTGCAGAGCCACAGCCCCTTTGCCTAGCTGAGCCAGCACAGCTCGCACATGACAGTGTCGTTTGAAGGTCGTCTGTTTAACAGCACTGATTTGGGCTCATTGTCTTGTCTTGCTTCTCCTACAGTGAAGCAGAGATGGTTCCTGCCATCAAGCCTTCCCGTGAGGAATTCCTGAGCAGCCGGATGCTGATGCCCCAAGACATCATGGCCTATCGGGGTCGTGAGGTGGTGGACAACACCTTGCCGTTGAGGAATGCCCCCGGGTGTGAAAGCAGAACCTTTCCCCCGAGCCTGTACAGTGGCCTGTCCACACCACCAGCCTCCTATCCCATGTACAGCCACCTCCCGGTCAGCAGCTTCCTCTTCTCTGACGAAGAGCTGCGGGATGCCCGGATGCCCATGGCCAACCCCTTCCCCAAGGAGCGGGCCCTCCCCTGCGACAGTGCCAGGCCAGTTCCCAGTGAGTACAGCCGGCCGACCATGGAAGTGTCCCTCAGTGTGTGCCATAACAACATCTACTCGCCCAAGGAGGCAGCTCCTGAGGACGCACGAAGTGACATGCACTACAGTGTGGCTGAAGGCCCCAAGCCCGCTGCCCCCTCAGCCCGGAACCCCCCGTACTTCCCCTGTGACAAGGCCAGCAAGGAGGAAGAGAGGCCCTCCTCAGAGGATGAGATTGCCCTGCATTTCGAGCCCCCCAATGCACCCCTGAACCGGAAGGGTCTGGTAAGTCCGCAGAGCCCACAGAAGTCCGACTGCCAGCCCAACTCACCCACAGAGTCCTGCAGCAGCAAGAATGCCTGCATCCTTCAGACCTCTGGCTCCCCTCCAGCCAAGAGCCCCACCGACCCCAAAGCCTGCAACTGGAAGAAATACAAGTTCATTGTGCTCAACAGCCTGAACCAGAATGCCAAACCTGAGGGCCCTGAGCAGGGTGAGCTGGGCCGCCTTTCCCCTCGAACCTACACTGCCCCACCTGCCTGCCAGCCACCCATGGAGCCCGACAACCTTGACCTCCAGTCCCCAACCAAGCTCAGCATCGGCGGGGAGGACTCCACCATCCCGCAGGCCAGCCGGCTCAATAACATCGTCAACAGGTAATTTCAGAGGCATCCAGGTCCCAGGTTCAGAGTTACTCTGCCCTCTGAGCGTACCTGACTGCAGGGAGGTGAGGATGGTATTGAGGCCACGAGGAAGGTCCAGGTGCTAAGGTTCTCGTTACCCCCCCAACAGGTCCCTGACAGGCTCCCCCCGAAGCAGCAGCGAGAGCCACTCCCCGCTCTACATGCATCCTCCCAAGTGCACCTCCTGTGGCTCGCAGTCCCCGCAGCACACGGAGATGTGCCTCCACGCCGCCGGCCCCACCTTCCCTGAGGAGATGGGAGAGACCCAGTCCGAGTACTCGGATTCCAGCTGTGGTGAGTCCCTTGCCTGCCCTTCCCTGGCCAGGGAGAAGGAAGCTCCCTGCCTCTGCTCCACGGGCTTGGGGTTTCCATTTTATTGATGCTGTTGTCTCTGATTGGGAGAAGCCCCCCACTGGAAGTCCGTCCACGGGCATTTATAATCACAGCTTTTCGGCTTCATTCCAGCAGAGGTGGTTTGCAGGGCGGGCTATGGCTCCCTGACCTTTCTGGGTCCTTGTGTTCCAGAACCACTGGAGCTGATCTGTGTGTGTTATTTCCCCCTTGCTGGGCTGTGGACTTCACAGGGAGAAGCCTCTGACCTTATCCATCCTGCGTCCCTCACAGGTCTAGCAAATACCTAGCACAGAGCTGGTTTTCAACAGATGCTGGCTGAATTAAATTAGTTGAGCTGAATCATTAAAATCGAAGTCTCTGGCAGTCTGTGATTTTTACCCGATAAAAAAGTTGAACTCTACGCTCAGCTTTGGCTGTGAAAGTATAGCCCAGTAATCCCTAATCAGGGTTAAACCACAGTGGCATGGAGTTTTCAAATTGTTAGAACAGAAGGAAAAAAAAAAAATCAGTTGCTTACATTGAGAGATTTGGCACTGGGCCTTGGACTTACATAGTTGAGAGAGCTGGGACTGTCCCCTTCTGTCCCCTGGCCATTTGCCTTTGCTCTGCTCTCCAAATTCCTTCTCTCTGGGCCTCTGTTTCCACTTCCACTGTCATCTTTACCCGCTCCCCTCCCCCGCAAGCTCGCAGAAGCACTTGGGAGACATGCAATCCAGATAGGTGTAAGGACAAGGACAGGCTACCTCATCGTCAGTAATTCTTCCTTCATTGACCTTCAAGTATCATTGAACTTGATTTATACCCCCCATTCCTATAGTGCTTTGTGTTTCACTGTGTGTTATCCACACGCTCTTGTGAGGTAGGCAGGACAGGGACTTATTATCCTGATTTTGGAGACAGAGACACAAAAGGAGGTACAGAGAGACGAAGAGTCTTGCCTGAGAGCTTCTGTGTATAAAGTCAATAAAACTATGAACCAATTAGAAAAGTCAGTTCTCAGAGCTCTTGAGTGAAGGAAAAGCTCCTCTGAGCCTTCATGCGGGTGCTGCCGCGTGATTGCTGGTGCTTTGGGCTTCCCGTCTGCGCCTGTCTCCTTTCCCCTCCATGACTGAGACTCTAAATGCTAAGAAAAATAAAATCCCCCAGGTCCTTTGCTCTGGGCTGCCATGTGTTGAGTGGGCAGGGGGGCTGGGGTTCAGTTTGGCACTGGGGGTAGGGAGGAGAGAGGCCTTGGTGCCCTCCCTCCTCCCCCTTGTGCTGACTTGTGTCCCCCTCCTGTCCCTGACAGAGAATGGGGCCTTCTTCTGCAATGAGTGTGACTGCCGCTTCTCTGAGGAGGCCTCGCTCAAGAGGCACACCCTGCAGACCCACAGTGACAAACCCTACAAGTGTGACCGCTGCCAGGCCTCCTTCCGCTACAAGGGCAACCTCGCCAGCCACAAGACCGTCCATACGGGTATGGCCCTGCCCAACCCCGCCCGAGCTCTCCGGGATTATTGGGGTGGGACAGGGAGACGATCCTGGGGACGGCTGTGTGGGTCCTTGGTCCCCGTCCTGGCCTGAATGAGGGCATCACCCTGTCTTGTCCTTGCTCAGTGACTGGTCCACCCCTGTATCCTTCGTCTTTTCTCTGAGACGTCTGTCCTGCTTCTCTGCCTTTGCTTGGGTCAGAAGTGCATGTCCCATTGTACAGGTGAAGAAACTGAGGCTGATAAAGGCCAAGTGGTTTAGGTTGTCTTAGCGTCAGAAAAAATCAAAGGTCTCTTGATTTCCCCTAAGGATTTGCTTCTTATCAACTGACATTTGTTTACCGGGTGGCTTCTGATAACCTGATTATTCTCCAAAGTTTACTCTCTCTCAGTACTTTAAATGTTCCATTATCCCAAAAGTTTCCGTGAGGGAAGGCTCTGTCCTTCTGTTGGTTTCTTCCAGCTGGGAAGCTACTCAAAGTCAGGTCCCACCCCTCTTGCAAATGGAATCCAGCTGTAGTTGCCACAAGCGGGAAAAGTATGTTTGTTCTAAAAGAGAGAAACTAGAGCAGGCTGATTGTATCTCCCTGGTGAGCGAGTTGATTATTGAATCAGTCTTATCCAAGAGAACAGCTAGAACAGCCTTCCCAGGTCATCTAAATTAGCTCCTCAAGTTCCAGAGAGGGGAAACTGAGGCCCAGAGAAGGGGAGTGACTTGTCCAAGTCCCCCAGCCAGATAGTCATAATGACAAAGCTGGTTCCAAAGCCCAAGCTTCCTGGAACCCCCCTCCCTTCCTGTCCCAATCCTGGCATTGTTACCCCATCCCACATGCTACCGCTTGCTTCTAGACCTTGGTCCCCTGTAAGATGTGTGTGTGTTAAAGGGGCAGGAGACCAAGTGGCAGGTCGGGATTCTCTGTCTGACATCATCCAAGAGAAAGGAAGGTGGAAGCAGTTTGCTTTGAAATCTGGGGGCCAGGGACTGTGGAAGCCTTCCCATTGAACATGGCTTTTCTCTCGGCAATAGGTGAAAAACCCTATCGTTGCAACATCTGTGGGGCCCAGTTCAACCGGCCAGCCAACCTGAAAACCCATACTCGAATTCACTCTGGAGAGAAGCCCTACAAATGCGAAACCTGCGGAGCCAGATTTGTACAGGTGAGCGGGCTGGCGTGGCGTAAGGACCTCTCAGCCTGTGTGTGCCAATGGCGGGGGGGTGCCAGGAAGCTCTGCAGCCCAGCCCGACACAGTCTCTCACAATTTGCCTGCATCCAGGTGGCCCACCTCCGTGCCCACGTGCTCATCCACACTGGCGAGAAGCCCTATCCCTGTGAAATCTGTGGCACTCGTTTCCGGCACCTCCAGACTCTGAAGAGCCACCTGCGAATTCACACGGGAGAGAAACCTTACCATGTACGTGAGCCTCCTGTGGCACTAGTTGGCCTGGGAGGGGTGGGGAGATAAAAGGTGGGATGGCAGAAGTGTTTGCTGCAGCCTCAAGCACACAGTGGGATGACCACTGAACTAACGGTTGGAAGATGTGGATATCTAGGCCTGACTGTCAAAGACACCTGCTTGAACTTGGCCTGAGCCTCAGTTTGCTCATCTTTAAAATGGGGGTATTAGGCTAGGTGATCTGGCCTTAGGAAAAAGATCTGGACAGTGGATACATAGATTCTAGAGTCATTCATTCATTCCGTAGACACTTATTGCATGCCTACAACATGCCCCTGCTGGCCTAGATGTACATTTAAAAAGAGCTAAGGCATTTGAGAAGGAGCAGTTATGGAAGTGGGAAGAAAACTGGAAGAATGCAGTGTTATGAGAAAAAAATCAGAGGAAAGGGTATTTCAAGAAGGAGGAGGTGGCCAGCTGTGTAGCACATTGCCATGAATGTTGTTGTCGTGTGTGCCGGTGAGTCAATTCTGACTCATAGCCACCCTATAGGATGGAGTAGAAATTGCCCCGTAGGGTTTCCAAGGAGCAGCTGGTGGATTCGAACTGCCGACCTTTTGGTTAGCAGCTGTAGCTCCTAACCACTGCACCACCATGTCACAAATATTAGCCCGCAAAATGTCATGTTTTTCATTCACTCATTTATCAAGCCTTGAGTGAATATCTTCTCACTTGCAGTTTGTTCTTGGATAGATTAGTTATCTTCTCAGCTCCTTAATTTCCTCATCTGCAAAATGAACTTGATAGTAGTACCTACCTCGTGGAGTTGTTGTAGTAAGTCAACTCATTGATTACAGGGTCCAGAACAGTAACTGGGACATGGTAAGCATACAATAAATACTTGATGTTATTATTATTTGCTAGAATTTTAGATGCATAAGATATCAGAATTGAAAGCAACTGTCAAAATATATTGACTCAGCCCCTTACGAAAGGGGGAGCAAAGGCCCAGAGAGAGAAATGACTTGCTCAGGACACAACAGCAGTAGGTAGTTTAGATATGGTGGACCTCATGTCTCATGACCAGCCAGGGCTCATTCTATTCACTGTCCTATCCACTTTACTTATTTTTTTTATAACTCAGTTTCTATTGTTACTTTAAAACATAGTCTATATATGAGGATTTTTTAAATAAACTTTTTATTCTAAAATAGTTTTAGATTTAGAGAAAAGTTGCAAGAGTAATACAGAAAATACCTATACACTCCCTCACCTAGTTTCCCTTATTGTTAATGTCTTACATTAGTAGAATACATTTTCTACAACTAATGAACCAATCCTGATACATTATTGTAAATTCAAGTCCATGCTGTACTTAGATTTCCTTAGTTTTTACCTAGGAAACCCTGGTGGCGTAGTGGTTAAGAATTTGGCTACTAACCAAAAGGTTGGTAGTTCAGATCCACCAGGAACTCCTTGGAAGCTCTATGGGGCAGTTCTACTCTGTCCTGTAGGGTCGCCGTGAGTCAGAATCGACTCGTCAGCACCTAACAACAACAAGCTTTTACCTAATGTCCTTGTTCTGTCCCAGGATCTCATCTAGGTTACCACCTTACATTTAGTCACTGATTTTACTTTTAAGTAACTTTTTTCACTAAAAGTGTTAGCATCCATTCATTAATCAGAGCAAGAAACACCTCCATTTACCCATACTTCATTAGCTTATTTAAAGTGTGTGCACTAAGAAAGAATATAACTGCATTAAAAGAAATGTATCCTAGACTCCAGAATTTCCTTTGATCTAGTCTGTTTGTCCAGATGTGTCCAGATGTTTGTATAATTGCCTAAGAGGTATATTCTGCTAGGTACTAGGAGGACTGTAAACTTGAGTAAGAAGTAATCATTACCCTCCAAGGGTTCCCACCTGATGACGGAGCTAAAGCACAAAGATGGCTGTGTGGCAGGAAGCTCAAAGGAACAGTGGGTTATTTTCATCCTGGAAAGATTCAGGAAAACCTTATTGGGGAATTTATATCTGAGCTGCATTTTTGGACAAGATTTGAACTTGTGTAATTTAAACAGGGGAAGGCATATCAAGGAGGGGGAAAGCATTGAGCAACATTTTAGAAAGCAGGGAAGGGACATTTCCATAACATGGAGGTTCGAGTCCACCCAGAGGTGCCTCAGAAGAAAGTCCTGGCAATCTACTTGCGAAAAATCAGCCACTGAAAACCCTACAGAGCACAGTTCTACTGTGGCACACTTGGGGTCGCCATGAGTCAGTCAACTGGACGGCGACTGGTTTTATTTACCTGTCCCTTAGCAGAAGCCAGGTTTCATCTGGGTTCTTAACCTGGCCTTTGAGAGGGAAAAGCTGCCTCAGTCTCTCCCAGGGAGACTCTCTTTCTCTGGGTCTTTGCGCAGCGACCAGCTTCTTAGGTTGATGACGGCTAACCGTTTGCCTCTGGTTTTCCCCCAGTGCGAGAAGTGTAACCTGCACTTCCGTCACAAAAGCCAGCTGCGTCTTCACTTGCGCCAGAAGCACGGTGCCATCACCAATACCAAGGTGCAATACCGCGTGTCCGCCACTGACCTGCCTCCGGAGCTCCCCAAAGCCTGCTGAAGCATGGAGTGTTGATGCTTTCCTCTCGAGCCCCTTCTCAGAATCTACCCAAAGGATACTGTAACACTTTACAATGTTCATCCCATGATGTAGTGCCTCTTTCATCCACTAGTGC